ATGAATTATATTAGTGATCATTAAGAAAATACATCTTTTATATTTATTCAGAGAGGGTGTACTCATTTATGCTGTGCACTGTAAGTGAACATTATGTAAATGTAAAAAAATAAATAAAAAAAAAGACGTACAAAAATTTATAAAAAGTATAAAATATAGATTTCAAATAAATACGATGTAAAAAGTACAGCCTTGCATTTAAATAATTTAAATGATAAATGCTGATGCTAGACTTACTTTTATAGGGATAACGTGGCAGGACTTAAACTTATGCAGCATTGCTAAAAGAAGGATTTCTAACTCCGTAAGCGGAAAAGTTACATTCATCAGCATTTCATTTTACATCCAGCCAGTTTAAAAAGCACAGATAAGGGCGAGCACCTCTATTAGGTCCAAAGATCCAATCCATTTGTGACCCTGGAGCACAAAACCAGTCTTAAAGGGGACCAGTTTAAACAAACGGTCACTCTGCCCCGCTTCTGAAGATCTGCGTTTACCTGAATAGTTTAGTTCCTCTAACTACCTGCCTATGATTTTGAGGTGAACAGAACCCAAGTGTTCCTGTCAAGTTATGGCCCACCTTCCAACTCACTGGCTGTGATGTTTGCCGGTGCAGGATGGGCAGATGAGGGTGGTGGGGGTGGTGGACTCGGCAGCGGGCGGCTGTTTTCTCCTCCTGAAGGTCCTACGGGTTCCTTTCGGGGAACTTTGGCAACAGGGAAATCCTCAGGCACTCCGCTTTGCCTCTGCCGCCGCCGCTTCTTGCTCCAGAGCTCATGACAGTCTTGCCAATGAGGCAAACTAAAAAGAAAAAATATTACGAATGTATATTTACTAGTATAAACAGCCATATAATCAGCTAGTCATTAATATGGAGTTAAATTTCATTATATAGTCTAACAACATTTAATTGCAGCTACATTTAAAACTCAATTACAAAATGTGGTGTGACTTTACCACTCGTTCCACAAATGTAGTTTCATTAACACCATACAATACGATTTAAATCACATAAGATGTTTGTGTGTCCACTGACTCAGGTGGCGGCATCTTGTTGGGCTCCACATCACACAGAAACTGGCTGGCGAGGGCCTGTTCGGCCGTGCAGCGTCTCGAGGGGTCCAGCGTCAACATGTGGTCCAGCAGGTCAAGAGCAGAGGTGGGCAGACTATAGACGGACATTGTGATTATAAAGGAAGTACTGTGTAAAAAATATTGTGACTAAAACGGTAAACTCTACTAAAAAGATAAATGCATTTATGCATTTGGCAGATGCTTTTATCCAAAGTGACTTACACTGCATCATTAATATTCAGGAGCATAACTATGGCAAAACAACCATGAACAATCATCTTTTTTTCTTTTTTTTTTTTTACAGTGCAAAAGTTAGGGCCTGTTCGGCCGTGCAGCGTCTCGAGGGGTCCAGCGTCAACATGTGGTCCAGCAGGTCAAGAGCAGAGGTGGGCAGACTATAGACGGACATTGTGATTATAAAGGAAGTACTGTGTAAAAAATATTGTGACTAAAACGGTAAACTCTACTAAAAAGATAAATGCATTTATGCATTTGGCAGATGCTTTTATCCAAAGTGACTTACACTGCATCATTAATATTCAGGAGCATAACTATGGCAAAACAACCATGAACAATCATCTTTTTTTCTTTTTTTTTTTTACAGTGCAAAAGTTTGGGGTAAGATTTTTTTTTAATTAATAAGTTTGCTCAGGAAAGATGCATTGAATATCAAAAGTGACAGTAAAGACATTTATAAATGTTACAAAAGATCTTAATTTCAAATAAATGCTGTTTTTTCAAACTTTAAGCAAAAGTTAAAAGTATCATGTTTCCATAAAAATATTAATCAGCACAACTATTTCAATATTGATAATAAAAATGTTTCTTGAGCAGTAAATCAGCATATTAGAATAATTTCTGAAGGATCATGTGACACTGAAGACTGGAGTAATGATGCTGAAAATTCAGCTTTGCATCACAGGAATAAAATACATTTTCAAATATATTCAAATAGAAAACAGTCATTTTAAATTGCAACAACATTTCACAATCTTATTATTTTTACTGTATTTGTGATGAAATAAATGCAGTCTCATAGTGAGAGACTTCTTTTAACAAAGATTCAAATCTGTCAGAGAATGATGGAAGAGTTTCAAAAATCAGGCTGAACTTACAAAGCGAATTCCTCCCGTAAGCGTCGTCTGTACGGTTTCTTGGGTCTCATGGTATTAAAGTACGGCAGCTTAATTACATCTGGCCAAGCAGCAGGACACGGACTACCACACAAACGACTGACCAAAACAAAATACAAAACAGATGGAGTGTAACAGCATTTCACAAAGCCCTTTCCCCTCCTTCAGCATTAGAGCAACACCACATGTGCATTCAGAGATTGTGAGAATCGTACCTGATCAGCTCAAGCTGTAGAAGCTCTTGGTTGGCCTGGAAAATTGGCTTCTTAGTGAAGAGTTCTCCCAAAATACACCTTTACACAAGAGCAAAAAGAAACCCAAACAACATTATTACATGAACAGCAGCTGGGGTGTAAATGTAGATGGGAAACAGACAGGACGTCTTACCCGCAGCTCCAGACATCAATAGCAGGTGAGTATCTCTCCTCCCCCAGTAGCAGCTCAGGTGGGCGGTACCACAGCGTGATCACCTTATTAGTGTACGGCCGACTGGGAATGACCATTAAGTTAGTCTTATACACCAAAGCTTTTCAATATCAATCATGTTTACTGTTTCTGAAATCACATGTCGTCTACAGAAACTTTAAAGCTGAGGGGTGTCAATTTTTGCGCCCCATAATTCGATCAAGCTAAATTCTTGTTTAGCACAACCTACAGAAAGGTCGAGAAAGCCTAACATTTACTTACCTTTCCTCAGAGTTATAAAGACGAGCCAAACCAAAATCGGCAAGTTTGATCTGACCACTGTAAAAATAATAAGAAAAAAAAAAGACAGTAAGGCGGATGGAACACAATCTGCAAAAACCCTAAATCTTGCATAATATATTATTTAACACTATTTTGTAAACTGAGCCACATTTGATAATTTTAACGCAAAATGCAGGTATTTGCAAGTATTGGGTAAATGCCAGTACATAACGTCACTGTAAAAAAAACAAAAAAAATAAGTATGAAAAATGTATTGATACACTGCTTCAGTGTTTATTTCAGAGAGCACAACGTTAGTTAAGAATGTAAAATTAATGCAAAAATCATATGCATGATACTATTCAAAAGTCTATGGCTGCTAAGATTTTTTACTGTTTTTGGAAAGAAGTCTCTTATCCTCACCAAGACTACATTTATTTGATGAATAATACAGAAAACAGCAATATATTGCGAAATATTATTAGAATTTAAAATACTGGTTTTCTATTTGAATATATTTTAAAATGCAATTTATTCCTGCAAAGCTGAATTTTCAGCATCATTACTCCAGTCTACAGTGTCACATGATCCTTCAGAAATCATTCTGATATCACTGTTAAAAAAGGGTTACTGATTAATATTTTTGTGGAAACCATGATAAATTTTTTCCAGGATACTTTGATGAACAGAAAGTTCAAAAGAGCAGCATTTATTTGAAATTAGGCCTGTCGCAATAATCAATATATCGACTTGTCGCGCAACATATGTACATGACCTCAATTTTTGGTGACGCAATATATCGCCCATTATGGCCTTCTTGCATTATTATGCTGTTATTATGATTATATATTCAGTGGCATAAAATGGTCTTTAAAATTACAATAATATTGCTTTTCGCAATTATTTCTGGGGCAACATATCGCACAACAAAAGGTTGTTATCGTGACAGGCCAATTTGAAATAAATATTTTTCGTAACATTATAAACATCTACTTTAAATTTTGATCAATTTAATGCATCCTTGCCAAATAAAATGATTAATTTCTTAAATAAAATTGAACGTCAGTGTAGCTGAACACATCATGTAAATTTGTATGACACTAATAAGAGACCAACTTCATGCAATATTTCAAAACACAAACTGGTACCTGTTATTTAGCAGGATATTGGAGCACTTGATGTCTCGGTGCAGAAAGTTCTTCTTGTGGCAATAATCTAATCCCTCCATCAGCTGACGCATGAAGCTCTGCACATGCTCATGGGAGAAAGACACCAGTCCTGATTCCAGCAGCCCCATCAGGTCATGGTCCATGTACTCAAACACCAGGTAAAATGCACCTAGTGCACAAAAATACATACAGGTTAATACACAGAGGTAGGCCTAGAAAATGAGTGAGTGCAGGCAGAAAATGAAGCGTTTCAGGAGAAGTCTAAAACTGAGTGGGCCACAAATATGCCACTAACTCTAAGAGGAGAATGTGTTCACCACTGGGAAAACTCCACGTTAAATACAAAACTAAATATAAACATGCAAATGCATTTAAACAGACCTTTATCCTTTTTGAAGTCAAGTGCGTCTTGTTTATCAGTGACGATTTCTTTCATGTTGACAACACTGCGATGGTTGAGTTGTCTCAGGATCTTGATCTCTCTGATAGCAGTGATGGGGAAACCCTCCTTTTCGTTATCCAATCTCACCTTCTTCAATGCCACCAGCTCTCCTTTAGACACCAAAACATTACAGAAGGCTGTCAACACGTCTTCTCTTCTCAAAAACATGGATTTTTACAATGGCAAAAATAGCGGTGCAATTACTGAGAGTGATCAGATAAGCACAGCTTTTCTAATTAAGAGCAAATAATTCTGCATTTAAAGCAAAGAAAACAAACTCGTTCGACTGTTTGGGGTAAGATTTTTTTTTTTAAAGAAATTAAAACTTTTATTCAGCAAGGATGGGTTTAACTGACCAAAAGTAAAGACATGTTACAAAATGATTTCTATTTTAAGGAACACGCAAATATTTTGGAGCGCATTATGACATTTCCACACTAGTATTCATCCAATTTAAACAACACACCTGTGTCTTTGTCCTTTGCCTTGTACACCTGACCGTAGGTTCCTTCTCCAATGATGCCGATGATGTCAAACTTGTCCACACAGCGCTTGCCCCAGTCAGTTTGAGTCTGCTTCCTCTCTCCATATCTAGGACAGCAAATCCTGCACACATTTGACAGACACTTGAGAAAACCTTTGCCATTTTTCAAGTCACATTTCCAGAAACTAATGAAGCATTCCAGCATCCCATGACTAAAGTAATAACTGTGTTAAGGATTTCTCTCAACTCTTGACAATAAAAAACATACAATGCTATTCAAACTTGGGTTCAAAAGAGACATTAATACTTTTATTCAGCAAGGACACATTAATTTGATCAAAAGTGTGTTCTCTAAATGTAAATGTCTAAGAGCACAATGTGTTGAATTAGCAACACTTCAATGTTTTAAAATACAATCTCTTTTTTTCTTCCGTTTTAAAATACAATTGCTTTTTAATTCACTTCGCAAAAACAAAAGCTTAAGGCTTGAATAGCTCTGCTCACAACTAATAAAATATGGAAATAACTGTCACTGTACCTTCTGATCACACAGCCAAAAAATAATGCGCTTCCTCAGTATTTTTGTCTTGTTTTCCAGTGCAAATGTCAAATTTACTGGAAACGATATTTTGAAGATATTTTCAAACATTTGATGGGCACCATTGACTTCCATAGTATTTTTTTTTCCTACTATGGAAGTCAATGGTGCACATCAACTATGCAGATACTAACATTTTTCAAAATATTTTCTTTTGTGTTCAACATAAGAAACTCATACAGGTTTGGAACAAGTGGAGGGTGAGTAAATGACAGAATTTTCATTCTGGAAGTGAACTTATCCTTTAAAGGGTTAGTTCACCCAAAAATGAAAATTCTGTTATTAATT